ATTTGTAAGGCCAACTTTCACACCATACTTCGGGAGTTCGTGAGCATATGCTGCACAGACAATCATATCTCCTTCTATACGGGCATAAGCAATCTACAGCAGGAGAAAAAAGCAGGATTAGGAAATGATCTTTGCTCTCATGATTTCAGATTTACCCTCTAAAAGATTGACATAGACTTTTAATACTTAAAGGAATTCCCAATTATTTCTAACACACTTTTAAATGAAGTATAAAGTATAACTATATCCAACACAATTTCAAGGTCTTGGTGTGGCACTGTGGGTTAATGAGCTAGTCTGCAAAGTCAGTTTGAACCACAAGGTTAGTGGTTCAAACTCACCAGCTGCTCCTCGGAAACCATATACAGGGTTGCTATGGGTTGGAAACGACTCGATGGCACTTAAAAACAAATGTTTAGTTGGAGTTCTTATGTGGTGCTGTGGGTTAATGTGCTGGACTGTAAAGTCATCTGAACGACAAAGTTAGGGGTTCAAGCTCACCAGTCACTCCTCGGAAACCCTATACAGGGTCGCTAGGGGTTGGAACCAACTCAACAGCACTAAACAACAAAAATGTTTAGTTAGGTGTCCTGGTGTGGCACTGCAGGTTAATGTGCTGCACTGCAAAGTCAGTTTGATCTGCAAGGTCAGCAGTTAAAGCTCACCAGTCGCTACTTGGAAACCCCATAAGGGGTTGCTATGGGTTAGAACCAACTCAAGGGCACTTAATGACAATGTTTAGCTAAGGAAACTTGGTGGTGCAGTGTTTAAGTACTTGGCAGCTAACCAAAAGGTTAATGGTTTGAACCTACCCACTGCTTCACAGAAGATGTGGCTATCTGCTTCTGTAAAAATTAAGTGTTGGAAACCATTCGGACAGTTAGTTCTACTAGGGTCACTGAGTCAGAACTAGGCAGCAACAAGTTTTTAGGGTTTTAATGTTTAGTTATCAGATTTGCATATGAAGACATCCCATAAAATTAGTATGCCAAGAAAACAGGTATGCCTGTCACTCTGCAAAGAAAACTGAGCAAGCAAATTAAACTATCAAAAAAATTATTTGCAAAATCCCAGAAAACTAGCTTCCAGGAACAAACCAGCAAATGGAGGTCCATTTGCATACATAAAACTGTATTTCAAATAATGTTAAGTGCTACTGAGTGTTGTAACAAATAAGCAGGAATAAACAACCTGTTGCTAAATGCCGTCAGGTCAATCCCACTCATATTAACTATGTCCAACACAACGAAAGTTCTGCCCAGTCCTGCACATTCTTCATGATCATTTCACAATTCATGTCACTGAGTGTCTTCCTTTTTTGCTAAGACCCTCAGTGGAGCATGATGTCCTTTTTCCAGGGACTTGTCCAAATAGATAACATGCTATTGAAAGAGGTAAATAGGAAGATAGTTGTGAGGGTTAAATGGGACTTTAAGTTGTTCTTGAGAGAATGGCAAAACGTCATCTCACAAACTTTGGACATAAGTTAAGTGCCTTCGAGTCAGTTTAGACCCATAGCAACCGTGTATAGGATTTCCAAGGAATGGATAGTGAGCTTGAATCACCAATCTTGTGGTTCAAAATCAACTGCAGTCCAGCACATTAACCCGCAATGCCATGCCAGCACTCATAGCACTAACCACCCGTTGTTATATAGAGAACACAATTTACCTGGCAAATGATATCTCTGTTGGTTACACGAACAATCATCCTGTATTTGGGTGTGTTGTATTTATTTTTATCCTGAATTACCAAGCGTTTTCGAGCATAGTAATCGGTTTTGCCCTCTGAAAAGCAAAAAAAGCTAAGTTAAGAAAGGCAACTCCAGTGCAAAAAAAGTAGATTCTTTTATGTACATTATAAATGTTCTGAAAAATCAACTATACCTCGTCGTCTTCTAAATTTCACTTGATATCTCTTGAAGTAGGCCTTGTTCTTGACAACTTTAACAAAACCCTTTAAGAAAACAGAATGTTATTGTTACAACTAAAACGTGGACGTTTTAACTATACCTTTGACATCTACCAAACTATGTAACAAAAGTAAGGCTTTAATGCCAAGAGTGAGTTACTTTGTAAAATCCAGTATTTCTTATACCACCAGAGAGTAAATGACCACTTTTTGGGTCTTTCAATATGTTAGACTGATACTTTATAAACCACAATGAAAATCAAATCATTGGGGAAATGGAATGAGGAAAAACAAAAGCATATAAAATACAACCCGACATTTAAAAATCATATTCAAAAGATAAAATCGTCACATTGTATTGAAGAGGTTTTTATTTTACACTTACTTTTAATTTGTTTATTTTTTCAGTCCAAGACCAAAACTTCTATTAAGCATTGCTCCACACAACTGTCAATCCTGCCCAATGCCAGTCAATTCTGAACTTCACTTTAGGGAAGCACACCCTTCCCTTAATTTCCAGAAACATTGCAGAAAAAAAATTTTTTTTAAAAGCTTGACTACTTGTCACAAAACTCAAACTGGTAAAGAGTTGCTATTAGGTGCCATCGAGTTGGTACTGACTCACAGCGACTATGCATAACAGAATTAAACACTGCCCAATCCAGGGCTAACCTCAAAATCACTGCTATCTTTTGAACCCACTGGTGTGCCAACTGTGCCCATCCATCTCGCTGGGGGGTCTTCCTCTTTTTCTCCGACCCTCCACTTTACCAAATATGATATTCTTCTCCAGGGACTGGTCCCTCCTGATAATATGTCCGAAGCAATGAGATGGAAGTCTAGCAATCCTGACTTTTAAGAACCATTCTTCCAACACCGATCTGTTTCTTCTTTTGGCAGTCCAGGTTACTTTCAATACTCTCCTCCAACACCGAAACTCAAATGCATCACCCGATAAAATGACACTGACTCCCACCAACATCGGCCTCATTCTGCCCTCTCTGTTCTCATCACCAAACATTTAAAAATTGGGAGCCGGAGATGACTAGTTAAGGAGACAGGAAACGCACGCCAATCTGTGTGAGCTTCCCTTCAAGGCCAAGAGACCGAGGCCTCCCATTTTACGACGGTTCTGGCATGAAAACAAGAGTTCTCGGCCCAAAGACGCAGGCTCTGAGGGGTGGCCCGCCGGCCCGACGCTCTCCTGGAAAACCCAGAAGCAGTCAGGGATCGAGCCGGGTCGGAGAAGTGGCAGCCCGTCCAGCACCACCAGTCTCTAGGGTTAGCCTGAAGCTTGAGTTGTCTCCCATGCCAGATCACCTGCCGATGCCCTCTTCTGACGACCTGACACTATTCCCAAAGCTTACCTACCAAACTAAACCCCCTGCCCCAGTTTGCAAGTTCCTTTGCCACCCCCTCCCCCAAGGTGGCGGGCAGACGGCAGCCATTAAGCCACGCTGGGAGCTGCGGCCCGACCATAGCAGAGTCCTCAATCTAATGCCATCCAGCCCCTGCGCCACGCGAGACGGGTTCCAGGCTAGCGTTCGGACAAGAAGAGGAAACATCCGTGCTTCCAAAGTTCCAAGATCGACGAACACACTCACCATCCTGGAGAACAGAAGCCAGCGTCCGCGGCTTGCCACAGACCGGCAGAACCAGCAGCTCCACAGGGGGGAGAAAAGGCCGAAACCCGTGCGCAGGCGCAGTATGTAGCATCGACAATCACGCAAGCGACGCGCAGAAGAGAGAAGACTCAGGCTTCAGAGAATGCAACATGCTGTTCCCTGCTGGCTGGAGGGTGAAATGCCGACCTTCCCATCGCGATCTACTTGCAAGGCTGTGGATCTCAATACTCTTCGAGCCGGCTTCTGGGTTGGATTTCGACAACCAAAGGAGAACAAGGCGCAGTAAGCAAGAGCAGGAATAGCTACAAGAGACTTTTGCGTTTGTACTTCAGTTTTTTTCATAACAAATATATATTGTTTTGTATACAAGGGAAAAAGTTAAATAGAATGAGTTGGCTCTGCCCCGTCCAGAGTCTGCTTCCAAAACTACTCATACGGTCTTAGAGCCCACAGGGTCACCTTCGGAAGCCTGGCTTCTTGTTGTTATGTGCCGTGCAGTCGGTTCCGACTCATAGCGACCCTGTGGGTTTCCAAGGCTGTAAATCTTTACGGGAGCAGAAAGCCTCATCTTTCTCCCACTGAACAGCTGGTAGTTTCGAACTGCTGACCTTGTGGTTCGCAGCTCGATTGGTAACCACTACGCTACCAGAGCTCCTTTGGAACCCTAAATTGGGTGAGGGGCCCTGCTCTGAGTTCTCAAAACACTTTGTTACCTACTTCAGCTCACACCAGGTTGCAAAGACCCTCAGGGTAAGCCCTGAAGTGAAACTCAACTTTAAATCCCCAATTCTTAACACAATGCTGACATTGTTGTTAAGCCCTGTGCAAGTTGGTTCCGACTCACAATGGCCCTGTATAGGGTTTCCAAGGAGCAGCTGGTAGGTTTGAACTGTCGAGCGTGGTGATTCTATAGTTTAAGCACTAGACTGCGAACCACAAGGTAGGCAGTTCAAACCCAGCAACAGATTCATTGGAGAACGATGAAACTTTCTGCTCACGCAAAAGATTTTCAGGCTTCCTATGGCCACGGAAATCCTATGTTGTTGTTGTTGTTGTTGTTGTTAAGTGCCATCGAGTCGGTCCTGACCCACAGCGACCCTGTATAGGGTTTCCAAGAACAGCTGGTGAGCTTGTACCGCCTACCTAGCAGTTCAAACGACTTTGCAGTCCGAGACATTAACCCAGGCAAACCACCTCAATGACACTTAACAACAACAACAAAAATAAAGTGGATTATGAATTGGATTGCTAATCTAATGAATCAGAACTGTCTCAACAACACACAACAAACATAAATATTAAGGAGCCCTGGTAGTGCAGTAGGATAAGCACTGGACTGTTAAAGAGGTTCAAACCCACCAGCCACTCAGCAGGAGAAAGATGTGACTGTCTGCTCCTGTAACAATTGACTTTCCTAGAAACCTTATATATAGGGTCACTATGAGTCAGAATTGACTCTGGCAATGAGCTTAGGTAAACAGTAGCAAACCTGGTGATGCAGTGGTTAAGAGCCCAACTGCTAGCTAACAGAAAGATTGGCTCTTCAAAGCCACCAGCTGCTCCACAGAAGAAAGATATGGCAGTCAGCGTGGTACAGATTTACAGCCTTGGAAACTGGGGGCAGCTCTACTCTGTCCTATAGAGTATGAGTTGGAATCCACTCGTGATATTTGGGTATTTGTTAAGTAACTACTGTTCTCTCTTCCCTTCTTTCCCTGATTGCTGCCCTCAGTTACCTTTATTCTTCCTCTCTAACTCAGAGTTGATGGACTTGATTTTTCTTCTTCTGTTGTTGTTATGGTTGGTTAAGTGCTGTCAAGTTGGTTCCTACTCAGAGAAACCCTGCATAGGGTTTCTGAGGCCGTAAATCTTTACAGGAGCAGAAAGCCTCATTTTTTCACCCGTGGAACAGCTGATAGTTAGAACTACTGATCGTAAAGTTAGCAGCACTACTCCTATCTACTACACTATCAGAGCTTCGACTCACAGTATAGGAGCAGCTGGTAAATTTGAACTGCCGACCTTGTGGATGAAACCGACCTTGAGGTCAAGTGCTTCTCCTATTTCTTTCTTTTGTGTAAAGCCAACTGGAACTGAATGAGTTGGTCTTCTTTCTCATTCTCTACACACAGCTTGAGTAGAATCAACCAACTCACCAGCGAAGAGAAAGAATGGTATTCCCTCACCTGCATTGGTATCATTTGGTATTAGTTAAAATGTAAGTAGATTCTTGAGGTTGGGGACTGGGAATCTGCATTTTAAATTGGGCTTCCATTTTGTTCAAATTGGGAAATTTCAGAAAGTGAAAAACAAATCCTACTCTATCAGATAATGAAATGTATTGACTCCAACAGGAAAAGAAGAAACCTTACTTACTCAAGGCAGAACAGTTTAAACAATTGGTTGCATAGTGGTTACGAATCAAGCTGCTAATCTCAAGGTCAGTGGTTCGAAACTACCATTGGTTCCACAGGAGAAAGATAAGGCTTTCTGTTCCTGTAAAGATTTACAGCCTCGGAAACCCTATGCAGCGTCACTATGGGTCAGAACCGACTCCATGGCACACTACCACCACCATCCTCAGTATGGATTTTGACTCTACACCTCCACCCTCCAATAATCTAAGCATGATGGGTGTTCTTGAGGTTAATCTAGCAGGGAATAATCAGGTTGTCAGCTGCTCAGTGTCAAAACTAGGGGGAGAAGGACTGTCAACTACGGTCACAAGGTTGTTGTTATTGGTAGTGGTTGTGTGCCATGTAGTCAATTCCAACCCATAGTGATCCTGTATAGGGTTTCCTAGGCTGTATATCTTTACAGGCATTCTGGTGTGGCACTGCAGATTAATGCTCTGGACTGCAAGGTCAGCTTGAAGTGCAAGGTCAGCGGTTCAAGCTCACCAGTTGCTCTTCGGAAACCCTAGACAGGGTCGCTATGAATTGGAACTGACGGGATGGCACATAACAACAACAACAATAAAATATTTTTATAGGAGCAGAAAGCCTAATCTTTTTCCCATGGAGCAGCCGGTGGGTTCAAACTCCATTACTAGTGTTCTGTAGTGTAACAAGGTTGTTATTGTCGGGTATGGTGTTGGAGACAAATATTAAGGGTACCATGAACTGCCAAGAAAACAAACAAATCAATGTTGGAAGAAGTACAGCCAGAATGCACCTTAGAAGCCAGGATGGCCAGACTTTATCTTTCATACTTTGGACATATTATCAGGAGGGTCCATTCCTTGGAGAGGGACATCATGCTTAGTAAAGTGGAGGGTCAACAAAAAAAAAGGAAGACCACCAATAGGATGGACTGGCATAGTGGCAGCAGCATTGGGCTCAAGCATATAAAAACGGTTGTGAGGATGGCCCCGAATTGGGCAGTGTGTTATTCTGTTGTACATAAGGTTGCTATGAGTCAGTACCAACTCAACAGCACCTAACAACAGCAAGATGTATGCAAGTGTAGAACTGTGCCCCATAGTATTTTCAGTGATTGAGTTTTCAGAAACAGATCACCAGGCCTTTCTTCAAAATCACCTCTGGGTTGATGTGAACCTCCAAGCTGAACCATAGCACTACACAGGGACTTCATAATTCCTTATATAACAAGCAAAATATACATTGAATCCACTCTGGTCAATTTAACAGAACTTTAGAGGAGAAGGAGGAGCCCTAGTAGCATTGTTGTTGTTGTTAGGTGCCATCAAGTTGGTACCGACTCACAGTGACCTTATGCACAGCAGAACGAAACACTGCCCAATCCTGGGCCAACCTCACTACTGTTGCCACCTGAGCCCATTGATGCTGCCACTTGGCCAATCCATCTCGCTGGGGGTCTTCCTCTTTTTCTCTGACCCTCCACCTTACCAAACATGATATCTTTCTCCAGTGACTGGACCCTCCTGACAATATGTCTGAAGTATGAGAGACGAAGTTTGGCCATCTTGGCCTCCAAGGAGCACTCTGGCTGCACTTCTTCCAAAACGGATCTATTGGTTCTTTTGGCAACCCATGGCATTTTCAATATTGTCCTCCAACACAGTAACTCAAAAGCATCAATTCTTCTATGGTCTTTCTTATTCACTGTCCAGCTTTTGTATGCATATGAGGTTATTGAAAATACCACGGCTTGGCTCAGGCGCACCTTAGTCCTAAACTGACATCTTTGCTCTTCAACACTTTAAAAAGGTCTTGTGCAACAGATTTGCCTAATGCAATAAGTCGTTTGATTTCTTGACTGCTGCTTCCATGAGTGTTGATAGTTGATCCAAGAAAAATGAAGTCCTTGACAACTTTAATCTTTCCTCCACTGATAAGTATGTTTATTGGTCCAGTGGTAAGGAATTTTGTTTTCT